AATGCTAAGATAGTAATTGAGGTGTAGACTTTAGATTTTTTTATAATTAGGAATACGTAATTTGTTTTTAATGTTTTGTACTTCAGGTGATTTTCTATAGGCAATCATAAAATGGTAAATGTTGCTATTTTAAATAGTTACTATAATATTAAAATGATTGGTTTAACAATAAGTCTTTCATTTGTTATATTTAATTGTAGCAAAATGATTTACTACCAAGTTTTTCAATGATTATATAACTGAATATGTGTAGCACCAATGCAAGGGAGAAAGTAGAAGCACCTGAAGAACACCCTAACGAGGGGACCCTTTAATAAAAGGATTATACATGGGACACCACACCACTTCTGTACTTGAGAGGAGCACATCCTAATGAGAGAAAATGGTTGGACAGTGATTGTAATTACAATCTATATATATAAAGAAGAAATGTGTGCACCCTAACTTCTCCAAGCCTACTGGATCAATCTCAACCAAAATTTATATGTAAACATTATGAACTATGGGGAATGTCCTAAGGGGGTCAAAATTGAACTTAATCTTATTTCTATTTTGTAAAGCCTGTTAGTTAATTACTCCTAGCCTATCGAGTCAACCTCAAATAATCTTGGCAGATTGACACTTTAACTCTTTCAGCACAGGCTCGGTCCCTTAGACCAACCTTCTAACCATTTTGTGCTTGTTATAGTTTTCATGCTATAATCTTTAAATTAGTAAGTATATGTTAAGGAAATTTGGCATATTATCAGTAAACATTACAATGCTTTCATACACAAAATATCAAATATTTTTTTTACTAAGTCTTAAGGTTTGTTAAGCAAAGTTTTTCTCGTACCTTTTTTTTCTTTTTCGCATGTTGCCTATCCAACATGCAAATTAATTTTCATTTTAAGACTAAAAGTACTTCTATGCACCACAAAATTTTCAAATGTAAAATGCAAAATCTTTATAATGTCCAGACAGTTATCAAACGTTTCTTAAGAAAAAAACTTTATATTTTATCTGTTATTTTCACTAATGAATCTCTGTATGAATTTGGTAGATTTGATTGATCTTGTATCCACCATAGATAATTAGGAAATAAATATAAATTATGCCTCCTTTGTTATAGAATGACAACAAATTATGTATATAGATTATTAATATTTAGAAATAAGTCCTTAAACTTATTTTCCTTAAAACATAGAACAGTAAATAAAGAAGTAAAGCAAACAATTATCTCTTCTAGTTAAGACCTTTGTACTTGGTTGCTGCTTGACATAGGTTGCTAAGCTCCTTAAAATTTTGCACATGGAGGATATGAAATGAAATAATGTTTTTTTATGTTTTATATATACAGTTGAATAACCAAAAAATTATAAGTTAATATATCAATACCATAGAATTCCACTATAATTTATCAAGCTTAATAACTAAGCTGTATTTGGGTCTAAAAAAATATGAACTTTCAAGCAGACTAAAGACAACCTACTTCCTTGAAATCTTGGTTAGAAAGAACGAGATGGTGTCCTAACACAAGAAAATGGCTGAGAAAGCCACTAGGGGGACATTTTGAGCTTTCGATTGGCTATTCACATATCATTTATAGATGTAAGTGTATATGATGGACTGTTTCCAAAAATGGAAAGAGGTGGGTGGGGCCACTGTGTTTGACTCAGTACATGAGTGATATTGCAGCAAATAGAAAAGATATGAGGTTCTTATTTTATACTCTACCTTTTCAATATCAGTAATTTGAGTTCATAATTTGTATGAAACTATAGACTCAATATTTTGACATCACAAACATCTCATTTGAACCAGTGCTGCATTTAACATACCACGTGACACACAAAAATCAATGTTTAACTGTGTTTTTTTAATATTTACTTTTAAATTAAGAAACTAAATAATGTATAATACTAAAATTTGAATTATAATCTACAGTTTGATACCAAACTTATTGACATAAATTCATGAAATACTAGTTTAATAAAATTTTGAATGCAAGTCAACAAACGAGATGACATGGCCTTTGACAAGTGACCCATCTGGAGAGGATTAAACAACGTTGAATATTCTAAAAGGATTCAAGGTCAAAGTATAAAAGTTGCTGGATTGTTTCTCAAAAAACCATGTTTTTCTCATTGTCAATGAGACATAGGGTGTTCAAGGGTGGGATCACCTCAAAAACAGAAACCAGACCAGAAACACCTCAAATGCAATAACATCCTCGGCATAAAAACAACGAGGAATAGTGCATAATGAAGAAGTAGGGCAACTAACAAGTACACCTACCGTGTCCCTCAACACTAGGGTAGTGCACTCGAGGCAAATTGATTGAGGGACCAGGGACACCCTGAACACACATGTGAGGACATATGGTGATTGGTTTTTTTTCTAAATCCAAAACTCATATGCCAGGAACTGACATCCATGCAGGTGTAGGATGAGAGGTCCCAATTGCACTACATGTGTGAGGACATGATGTTGATTGAATCAGCTCTAAATCCAAAACTCAATTGCCAGGAACCAACATCCATGCAGGGGTTGGATGAGGATTCCCAATCAGCACAAAATGAATGTGGACAATATGTTGATTGGTTCAGCTCTAAGTCCAAACACAACCGCCAGGAGTTAACCTCCATGCAGGGGTTGGATGAAGGATCCCAATCATTATGACAGCACACTCCAAAGCTACAACATCCCCTTGGACAAACCTGTGCAAAGATGGATCACCAATTCGGAAGACATCTCATCATCTACACCAGCAGAACACCACACCCTACTTTCAGGTGAATGGAGTCTTTATTCTTTACCCATTAAGTCCATGGGTTAGTACGGTCCAGAATGGGCATACTTATGAAGCAAAGATATTGTGAGGAGTAATCTACAAGCGATCTTGTAGAACACCCCATCTCTAGTTTATGTGATTTTAAGGAAGTGTGTATTAACAGTAAAAATATTCAAAAACCAAAACAGTATAACATCTTTCCAAAGTTGGCTGACCATACTTCAAAATGTGTGGGCCCCTATACTTGAGTCGAGGATCGATGAAGATCAGCTCATTTGACAATCAATCTTCCAACAAGTCAAAGCCAATAAATCTCCAGTCGAGCAATGCCACTGAAGCCTGTGTAAATGTGCTGATAGCATGTGAAGTTGCTGGTCATTGCTCATTTGCCCGTTGAACCGTTACAGATTTCTTCCGCGCAATTAAGTGTAACCAGCGCATTCCACAATGCGGAAAGAGCGCGGCGAGGCAGATAGGAAGTCCTATGTTTAGGGCACCTTTTCTAGCCCCCTTCTCAATTGAGGTGAGCAGAGCATTCCTAAAAAGGGCTGCTCAGTCATCCAGGATGCTGCCGGACTCCCCTGCTGCCTCATCAGTTGAAAAACGACCCTGTGTCCTGGACCGCCTACGTGCAGGCTTTTGACTACAGCTTCCAGTGATGTCCACACCTACTGCACTGCCATCGGCCTATCGCCGCAGGACTTTGGTTTGATGTCGTGACGTGCGCTGGACTTGAATTATAGTGAGGAAGAGTTGCACGAGTCGTCGACCTCACTCTCTCGTCCCTTCCCATCCGGATCCAGTGGCAAGAACAAGTCAAGACAACTGGGGATAGATCAGGATGCAGTGGATGACCGCCCTGTCTCAAATCCACTCTGGCTAGCAAACCGCGGCTGGCAGAGGTCCCACATAACAGTCGAACAACTGAAAAATCGAAATTTAAGGTGCTTAAATTGGGCACCTGGAACATAAGAACTCTTGTGGATGGCTCGAGAACAGACAGACCGGAGCATAGAACTGCACTTATTGCAAAAGAGCTGGCAAGGTACCACTTGGATATAGTTTCACTCAGTGAGACTCGCTTAGCTGACAAGGGTCAACTTTCCGAGGTGGGCACGGGATATACGTTTTACTGGAGTGGTCGTAACACCAATGAAGGGCGCGAAGCAGGAGTAGGCTTTGCTATCCGATCTGATCTACCACACATGCCTGAAGGTATCAATGACCGTCTGATGACGCTGCGACTACCGTTAATGAACAATAAGAACATGACGCTCATAAGTGCCTATGCTCCAACGATGACTAATCAAGACGAAACAAAGGACATGTTTTACGAAGACCTCGAGTCTGTCATCACTTCCATTCCAAGGTACGATAAGCTAGTCATTCTTATTGACTTCAACGCACGTGTAGGCTCAGATCATGTGACCTGGGAGGGTGTGGTTGGGAAGCATGGTATTGGAACATGCAACAGCAATGGCCTACTGCTACTCCAAACGTGCACCGTCCATGACTTGACCATCACGAATACTCTCTTTCGCTTGCCCACTCGCAACAGGACATCCTGGATACACTCACATTCAAAACATTGGCACCTGATTGACTATGTCATTACTCAAAAGAATGATGCGCGCGACGTGAGGGTAACAAAAGCCGTGTGTGGGGCAGAGTGCTGGACTGACCACCGTTTGATCATTTCCAAACTGGTTGTAAGAGTTGTGCCATGCAGAAGACCTCAAGGTCAAAAAATGTTAAGGAGATTGAATGTTGCCCGGCTGAAGATTCCTGAAGTTGCTGAGGCGTTTCGGAAGGAACTGGAATATACCATCACGAATGCCATTGCAGATGCTGATGCTGATCCC